CCATTCGAAAACTGCCAATTCGAAATTTCCATGAATACCATGGGAGAGCTCACCACCTTGCATCTTCAGCAGCAACAGGGGAGGGAGGATGAACATCGCCTTCGGAATCACAATTGGCGATCTCCACATCGCAATCATCATAGTAGTGGAACTCCTGAGAGTTCGAGTAACGCCCGAGACCGATTGTAAGCAGCACTCACGTCCAAGGCAGCGGAGTCATCATCTTCCCCATCGCTCATTGACCACACTGATGATGATGATGCCTCGTGCGAGCCCATGTCCAAGGACACTGGAGGGGCACCCAACTCCTCAGGAAGTTACTTTAACACAACACTCGATCATTTACAATGATACAGGACTAGCAAAAGAGGCCGCGAGCATCACAAGCAATCACAGTCCTCTCCAAACGGCTTCGACATCACTATCAGCAAGGGAGTATCTAGAGGTCCATGGCGTCAACGCTAACCCGATGCCAAGTACCATCAAGCCTCGATGAGCCAGCCTATATCAGTCTTCTGCTGCCTTCTACTCAGCCATGGGCAGGATGAGCTTCTGGCCATACCACTTGCTGAAAAAAATAGAGACGTAGATCCTCTTCCGAGAGTGAAAACAGCGTGAGCACCTCATTGCAAAATAGTAGAAAAAGTCACAGTACAATGCCACTTGGATGGCTCCTCCGACCCAGCCGACCCAATTCACATATCCCTCTGTGAAGTAGCGGTAAATCTGAGAGAGAGAAATTAGTTTCCTCGGGTCGTTTAGAGGAGTGCCACTGTACCCAGTTGATTATGTAGAAGCCTCTATACGCTCCCATGGCGAATACGAAGTTACTCGTCAAATTTTCTACCTAAAACGCAGAATTTTCTCGAATATTTTTTCGAGCCGAGCCATACCTCCCTCTGGCGCTGCAACAGTGACAATTGCGGCAAAATGGCAACTGCCTCAATCCAAATCGACATGGTCCATAGTATCTGTAGCTAAACTGACCATACCATGTACGGAGGGCTACTACCTCAGCAATAGAGTAATCGGCAGTAGTGATGAGAGTAAG